TTTTTTGTTTGTTCTTTTTTTCTATTCTTTTGTCATCACTACAGTCTTGTTTCTTTGTACCATTTTCTATATTTCTCGTCCGAATCTAAAAAAGACGAGTGATTTTTACTTCTGTTTGGCAGAATGGTGAAATACTCGAACTAGTATTCTATGAAAGTCTATAAAATAGAGAGAAGGGACGAGAGAATGAGAAGAAGAGGAAGAGGAAGAAGAAGAGAGGAGAAAGAATTTCTCTTGGAGAAAAGTAAGAATTTTGTAAGAAGAAATAAGTTGCTATAGAGTTTTAAGTAGTACGAACAGAGGAGTACCTACGACTTTTCTAAGCTTTCATAAAGATTTATGAAAGAGAGAGAAAGAGAGATAGAGAAAGAAAGAAAGAAAGTGAGAGAGAGAGAGAGAGGGAGAGAGTCAATTGCTCGTTCCAATTTTCTTTTCACTGATATAGTTTCAAGAAGTCTAGATGAGTCTAAAATGTTTCCACGAGTTTTACGTTAGCAAATAAGCATGGCACTCGAATCGTGATAAACTTTTTGCTTTTGTTGTAAGATTAAAAAGAAAATTCCTTAAAAATAAATTATGATTATTTAACAAATTCTGCTAATGCATTCGAAAATATGAAATGTAAAAAAATGTAATAACTTTTCGAGATATTAAATTTCAAAATGTTTATAGAAACCACGAATATATTTTGTTGCAGAAATGAAATAACATGAGGGTATTAAAAAAATGATATTAGAGAAATATATTTTTAAAATATGATAAAAACTTGAAATAAGGTTGTATTAATCAACTTAAATTTAAATCTGGGACAAAATATAAAATTTTCCACTTATTCCCAAGAGTTATTAAATGAATTCAATAGGACAATTTGAACATTTTTATTCTACATCTAAAATGTATTAATCATAATTGTATGTGAAAGGTATTTGCAATAAATTAAAGATAAAATTGGCAGAATATATAAATAAATGAGAATAAAATAGTTGGTAAAGTTTGGTTGTCGGACAAATGAAATATTGTTTTCCTTTGGTAGTGTCTCTTCCCTTTCAGTCGTCTACAAAGCTAGTAAAACAAGGCTGGTGTCGACGCCGGACACCGGGGCTGGTTTAATAGCGAGAGTAAATCGAGAACAGGGGCGAGAACGCTAGTGTTTCCGAGCACACGGGCCCCATGCAACTCTCTCTCTTGGCACAGGGATTGTTACTAGCATTTCGGTCAGTTACCGGTGGCGTGCAAACGGTCTGCAATTACCTCGCTTTCTAATTTGCTTCTGGCTACCTGGAGCTCGATCTAATGATCAAATCACGTGACCCTGCTCGGTTAAAAGCAGAGGTTAAAGCAAACGTAGTATGACGCAACTGCCGTGAGATTTCTAAGCCCTTTCAAAAGCTTTTACAACACCATTGGAATTCCCTCTTCTCTTTAGGATCAAGACACGCTTACGTGATTCCTCTTTGTCAATCCTTTGAAAGTATTTTAGGTAAATTGATGTACTTAACAGTGATTCTAACACGATTCGATGCTATCTAGAAAAAATTCTTTATTACAATTGATTTATCGATTTTTATTTTATTTCATTAAATTGTCAATCATTCATATTTTTCTTTATTTTATTTTCTTTCGAATTGAGACATGTCAGAAAATAACTATATATATTTTAAGAAATTGATGATCTTTTACTGTAATCACACAATCGTAAAGTAATAACACAAGTGACAAGATTTGCCGAAGATATTTTTCTTTGGAAAAATAAGAAAATACAAAAAAAAAACAAAAAAATAAAAAAGTGCGAAAAGGAAAAATAAAGAAGATAAATTCTGTTTTCCTCGAGTAAAGCGTATCCTATGCGGAGTGGCAAAAGCGAGTCAGCCGTTCGTTTTTCGATGCTCGATCTTTCGACGTGGACATTGAAGTTTTACGGAGCGTGAACGAAATACGGCGGGTAGATCGGGCAAATTGAAAGGGAGTTTCATCGGAGAAGCGATATTACGGATTCTCTTTGGCCTGAACTCGTGGCAATGAATGAAGTTCGGTCAAGAGAAAGAACGAAAGAGGATGAGAAAGAGACAAAAAGAAACAGAGAGAGAAAGAGAGAGACAGGTGGGAGGAGAAATAGAAGGAATTTTTAGTTGAAGCTGCGACTCAGCCGAGCGGTCAAGCGGATTAACGGATCGCGAGGAAGGGGTGAGAGTCGAGAAAACGAGGATTGATAACGAAGAGTACCGCTTCCAATCAGAAAGGAAAACAGACTGGAATAAGAGCGGATGTTGCGAAATTCAGCAAAGCTTTCCTGAAGCGTTCATGTACGCTCGCTCGCTCACTCACTCGCTTCTTTGCTTGCTTGTTCCTTGAACAAACAAGTGGTCCATCTAAATTGTGTGGCTTCACTTCATCAAAGATACACCAACATAACATTACAATGTATATCTTTGAAAAAATAAATGAATCAATTAACGAGTATACTATTACATTTGATATGCTTATTGATTTATATTTTTGAAATATTATCAACGAATTTGATAAATTATTTATACAAAAAAATTAACAAATATTTATATAATAAATAAATATAAAAATATAATAAGGGTGTATATCGTCTGCATATTATATTTTGCAATCGGACAGGAAGATGGTGGGAGGAAGGAATTGTACTTGTAAATTTAAATCGAATAAAAGGAGAAATTTATCTTAGTTTGAAAATTATGTTTTAGAGAAAAAAAAGTGTGCTATAAATCATAAATTAATTTTCCTATAATGTTTTTTCTCATAAAGATCATTTATGTGATTATTTATAATTATCTAGAAAATACATGTCAGTGACCATGCAACGACGATCAAGGTTTAAAGATGAAAAGGAAACAGGATAAAATCTGTGCCGTGAACTTACAATAAAACTCTAGCTCGTGCCTACGTAAATCAACATAATTAACCACTTCGTTACATTTTATGGCTACGTTACTGTTCCCGCGTCGTTTATAACGACTCGTTTTCTATATTTCTTTCTCTCTTTTTTTCTTTTTTAGTCGGAGTTAGCATTTATAAAGAATAATTTACGTTCTTCCGTAAAATAAGTTACTACTATTGATGAAATGAAAATCCAATAAAAATTTTAATCACATTTTTTCATTTCATCTCGCGTTGATCTTAATAAAAATCTAATAACACAAAAATGTAATAAATACATAAATTGAGAAGATGAATTACGAAAATATTGCTGGAGATTATTAAAAATCTCTAGAATGATGAAATAATTGAAACGAATAATATATTCTAATAAAAATTCCAGCAATGTTAAAACAAACGTTAAGATTTCTATAAATCTTGAATAGAAATCAAACAATTTATTCTATTATATTTTAACAAAATCCTTTTAACGTTCTTACGAATGAATTATAAATTAAATTCTAAGCGGATTAAGGAAACCAGGTGCAAACAAGTGTATTATGGAAATAAAAGTACTTTACCAAGGATTATAAAAAGGTAGTCTATTAATATTGAATTAAAAGTAGTCCAATCAATGTCACAGATTAAATCAATCAATATTATAATATAGATAAGAAAAAATTCTTAAAAAAATAGTATTATCGATTAGTAAATATATTTATGATATTTCTGTATTAAATTGCAATCAATTTTCAATAATCGCTTACTTAAGAGCCAACATTTCTAATTGATTATCAGTTCGATTAGAAAGGAAATATATATTGCATGCGTTTAGGGAGATGGTCAGTAATAATAGCTGCTCTAACACCTGACGCATCTTCTATGCTTTAGGTAAAAGCCCAGGATCGGAATAGTATGGAAAATTAATGTATTTCCAAATGTGTTCGTTCAATAAGTACTCTTATAAATGATGTATTAATAAAATAAACCATTTTATATATTTAAAGAGTACTCGATTCAAAGAGATAGTAAAAGAAAGAGATATATTTAAAGGATTATATTTTTCAAATAAAATTTTTCCTATTTAATATTTATTCATATTTTTTCAAATTATTATTCCTATTTATCTAATTGAAAAATCTATCAAAGTTAATAACCAATAAATAAAACATCTCGCAAAGTTCATATGAGTTTGCGTTTCATTAATCAGTATCATTAATGATACGTAGAGCAAGGCATTATATTTCAACTTTGTATCATTAATCAAATAATTTATCATTCTACAGCGCATCAAATGATAATTTCATATAAATTTGAAAGCAAACTGAAATAAGTGATAATTTTCTCTCTCTATTTTTGTTTTATAAGAATAATTATTTATGCTGGTCGAATAGTCGTTTGCTTTGAAAAAGAGAGAGACGAATGGAGAATGACCGATGGGTGAATTAGAGAAAGAGAAAGAAAAATAGAGAGAGATACATATAAAGAGAAAGATAGTCAAGGAAATCGTGAAATATCATCGAGGACACGGAAAGGCCATAACGCGCGTTGCCTGTTCGTGGCACAGGTTAACTGCATCTGCTACCATGAAACAAACTGAATACTAATAACAAGGCGTTATGTGGCGTTGCTTCCATAATACAACATCGAGAATGCCAACTGTGCCTATTCTAACGTGCTAGACGACCAATACTATCATCCTTGTAAATTCAATATCAGAACTAGTTTACTTGGTTGATTTCAAATTTATCCAATATATTTAAATACATTAGTATCATTTTTTGTTCTATTATTTTTATGCCTATTCATTCCGAAACATTTTAACCAAGGATTGTACCAATTGTTGTTTTGTCAAACATGTCGTTTTGTTTTTTTAAAGGTTCCTATAATATAAAGCTTTTAACGTGAACATTAATGAAATTAAATAAGCTCGCAAAAGATTGGAGTTCATTAGTGAATAATACATTTCGCTTGTGAATTTAATTAACTAATTATCACATAATTAGGAATTTATCTACGAATATATCAGAATATTCATTTTCATTAATAAAATTGTTAATATTAAAAATTTCGTAATTAACTTCTTTTTCTTTTTTATATTTGGAAATTTTACTTACGACAAATTCAAGTTATTGACATTTGGAGAATAATAATGTCCAAGTTTACCTGTAACAAAAAAAAATTAAAATAATGTGTTAAAAATGAAAAAATTTTCTTTTTTTTTTAATTTTAAAACATAATTAATCGAATTATTTAACTCTAAATCGTCGTTGGAAAAGCTTTTATGTAGCAGGACGAATAGGAACGTGGTAATGTCTCGCCGCATTAATCTGCCAACGGGCGATAAACGTAATTTCATCGTTACACCAGCATTAAACAGACAGTAGCAGCAACGTATGCATCATCAACATTTACATTCATCGTCCTATTAGATTATTAACGCGCGAAAGGATGCTTGGGATACTGACGGAGATCGTTGTTAGGTCATTCGTTACGTTAATTCGTTTGGAATCCCCACCCTTCCATCCCTCCAACCATTTCATCCTTCCAACATCATTTTAACGTCGCTATTCCCTTTCATTAACATACTGCATTTACATATGTGTGAATATCTTTGTGTAATATTGCAATATAAATGATATATTTTTGTTAATAATGTAAATGTTCATTAAATTGTTTTAATTAGACATATTTTCCATCGCTTACAATAATTTTCATTTCTTATCGTTATTAATCGAATAAATTTCTGTCTGCGTATAATACGTTTTGTTTCTTTCTTTTTTTTTTTTTTTACGATACCTACCCAATTAACAAAACGTAACTTGTAAGATATTTTATGATTTATGAAATGAATTTTCTATCGAAAAACCACGCTCACTTTTTTACGCTATAGATATGTAATATAAACAGAGAGTGGCTACTTCAGAGTTAACATCATCCAGAGTTATTTTTCACTATTCATCGGCTCGATATTTCCGGTCTCCAGTGAAAGGTAGGCTACTTGAACGAGATGCAACACGAAAGAAAATTCAACGAAACGAGCCTCTCGATCTCGCAATAGACTCCGATTCTCTACGAAGCGTCTAGCTTTCCGTTCAAGATTTTTCGTCAGAATTATTTTCGATTCGGATGAAAGCATTTCGATGAGTAGTGAGCCCACTACTCATAGAGCGTGGATTTCATGATGTTGTCGTTGGTTTCATCCTATTTGCTAACTCCTCAAATTATTTATGCGGGTCGAGATTCTATCATTTTCTTCCTTTTCTTCTGTTTCTTTCTTTTTCTTTCTTTTTTTATCTTTCTTTCCCTCGTTCTTTTATCGATACCGATATCATAACATTTATTTTGCTTATACTTGTTTATTTTTATGTTTTTTATCCAATCATCAAAACGATCAATTTCTTACGATCTATAAAAATTTATCCTTCCTTGTTTTTTTTTTTTATTTTTTTTTATTTTGTTAAGAGTAATTTACGAAGTAGGTAACGTTATTATCATTTAATCTTTATTACTGGTTTTATTGCGGTCATTAATTTGAAGATTTCGTACTATCTAGCGAATCGATGATGCGGAAAACGATTATGGTATTGTACTTGTTCTAGAATAGATACATCGATCCTATCCTTTGCTGATAAAACTACAGAAAATATATATTTTGTCATCCGTAAAATCGAGTAGTATCACTTCTTGTTTCTAGGATCTCTTTGGTAAACGATATGGTATATACAAGAAAAACAGAGAGAGAGAGAGAGAGAGAGAAGTAGGGGTTGGTGGCCGGGTCAGTGGCATCATTACCGTAGAAGAGGATATTCAGATAGTTTCAGAGTTTCGCCTTGGCGAAGTTTCCGAACGGCTCTCCATGTAATTAAGCTTCAAACCGGTATGAAACGAGCGAAAGCTTGCGTGCAAGTACACCTTCAACACGTATATACACACATACGTAAATATAATATATATA